GCCAAATAGTTCTCTGCCTTGGGCATGAAAGAACTACCAGAACCGTGGCTAACCTGCTTGCCCTCTCCCTCTGTAAAACCCCAATCTTCCGATAATTTTGAACTTGAAACATTCACATGACCTTCAAAACGGTAGGGAAGGGACGCTTTCAAAGGGTTCACCAAAGCAGATAGTGGGTTTGTATGAGAGGGGGGTAACATGGGTTGATTAATACAAGTAGCAATCGAGTGCAATGCATAAGAAGAAACACAAAAAGGCATCCAGGGAATGCATGTTCAGCAAGGCTTAAGTCACCAAAATGCTACAAGGAAGTGCAAATACAGAGCATGCATAATGGTGGAGCGAGAGAGAAAACAGATGCCCCCGAGTCCAGGTCAGCAAGAGTTGGTGCGCACATGGCGATGCAAGAGCAGCTAGAGTTGATGCTCTCACATGTTGGTCACCATGCCTTGGGCATCGCACTCATAACCGTCGGAGATGCTGCAGTCCACCAAAGTGGAAGTCTGGCCCCACCATGCTTGCTGCACGTCCAGCAGGACTTGCACTGGCGGCAGACGGCGGGGGAGAGGGGGGCAGGAGGAGGGCAAGAGAGGGATAGAAGGAGGGCGAGGGGCAGGGAACGAAGGAATGAAGAACCCATCCACATCTCCAGTGTGTCGCACCCTTGTCTTCCCCCCTCACTCATCAGCCTGTGCCGCACGACTGCGGAATGGACACATGCGATGGTGAAGTACTACCCAGAAAATGTGACTCGGAGATTGAAACTGATACAGAGATAGGATTATGCACATGGGAGCATGGGTATGCCGTGGTCACTGGGTCATCTGCTGGTGCCACCGATGATAGGAGGTGAAAACAGGGGAGGAGGTAAAATAGCGGGCACTCCTAAGCCCCCCGGGGATGAGAATTCCTCAGCTCCAGTTTGGCACTCGAGCAAGTGATGCAACTAGGAACACTACTGGTGCTCCTGGTAAACATTGCCGTGAAATAAGCTGCGGCCCTTGCCATTGTTGCAACTTGCATCTGCCCATCGCGGCAAGCCACCCATACATCATATTCGCGGCTCAGTGCGTGCCGAAATTCCAGGCAGCAGTAGCTGCGCTTGCGACAGGGGGGAGAGGAGCGGCAATGGAGCAGGAGAAAGAAAAGATCAGGGGCGAGAAACAACCCACTTCTGAGGAGGCAAGGAAGGGAAGAAGAGATGATTCGATCAGATGTTGTATGGCCTTTCCTCCTCTCTCGAACCCTGCATATGTAATCAGCAGAGCAGATAGGTGGGCAAGAACGAACAGATGCTTCCACACGGTTGGAGGACAGGGGACGGCCGACTGTCACCTCCACTCTCACCTCCTCCACTCTTAGAAACAACACCATCCGACAGAGGCGGCCGACTGACGCCAAGTTCGTACTACAGGACAAACCTTGGGAGGCGGCAAACGGGACGCAGCAGACTGGAGAAACCACGACGACACACGCCAGAAGGATGAGTGAGGCGAGTCGAATTATGCGACCCGCGCCGTCCGTTTCCATCGTGGCGCGGCGAGCTTTCCAGCAAACCCAAGCAGGCTGGTAGTGGCAGTTATTTTAAACTGCCAGTAGAAACGCACGCGTGAATAGTAAATGTAGGCGGTGAAATCGAAAATCTACTGCTAGACAGAGTGTAGACGACGTCACCTAATGAGGAATGTAAGGAGAGGAAGCAAGCCCAGGAGATCTAGCAGATAAGATGGTGGCAGGGAGGTGAGGGTGAGACGGGTACAGAGTCCCAGTCTTGCCCAGATTGCTTTGCAATTCTCTGTGTGGCTATTACAAGCCAACATCGCTGTACCGAATCCCAGGGTGGGGTTTCGATGGTGGCGTGGCATGCCAGCAGGGCGTGCTGAGCTTCCAGTAATCTCGCCCGGGGCGTGCTGAGCTTCCAGTGATATCGCCAGGTACATACGGCTGTAGCATTTCGACGAGACATTAGCATTTTCATTGTACCTAAAATCTTGCTAGCCCGACGAATCAGGACAGCGGCTGACCTTGCCGAGGAACGCCATCCTCTTCACTGGCTATCGCAATAACAGAAGTGGAACAACTAGTACAGAAAATATATAAATACACATGATACTCACCCCCTGCATGCGAAATTGCCTTGCACCTGATGGAAACCTTGCACCCGTGGGTTTTGTGCCGCAAGATTGCACCCACGTTACAAGCACGTCAACCAATACGAACCATAGAAACTGAAGTCTGACTGAAGAGACTGCCGTCAAAAAGTCAACGGTGAGTTATAATTCTTTTTATAAGCCCTTTTTGCCCGAAACGAATTGACTAAACCTCCGCGAAACGCAGGAATCGTTTATAAGCCCATAGGGTAAGGCAAGGTCGGGGGGCTCAACCGGGCATCGTGTGTATTGCTTTCAGCATATGAAGTGTCAGAATGTTATCTTATGCTCTAGCCTATAGTGGGGTGCTCTATAGCGAGTACAACCCTTCTAGGGTTTGCTATTTGTATCCTCATTCCTGCTAGTTCAACCCTCTTCTCTCTTCTAACTTTCAACATGCTATCAGAGCAGGTCGATCCCCTTGGATCGATCCTGTGGGTGGGTTACCACCTCCTCGCTTCCGCAGCAACTTTTTCTTCCCGCCGTGCGCCCCGAGGCGCGCGGCGGTTTTCTGCCCGCCGTGCGCCCCGAGGCGCGCGGCGGTTTTCTGCCCGCCGTGCGCCCCGAGGCGCGCGGCGGTTCTCTGCCCGCTGTGCGCCCCGAGGCGCGCGGCGGGCTTCTGCCCCGTCGTTCGCCGCGTCGCCCTCTGGAGGCGCCGCGACGGGCGACGGGGACCCGTCGCGGCCCCGCCGCCCCACTTCGCGGCCCCACCGCCTCACGTCGCGGCCCCGCCGCCTTACTTTGCGGCCCCGCTGCCCCATTTTGCGGCCCCGCCACCCTATGTTCGTGGCCCCGCCACCCTATGTTCGCGGCCCCGCCGCCCCACTTCGCGGCCCCGCCGCCCTTCTGTCGCGGCCCCGCCGCCCCAACTTCGCGGCCCCGCCGCCCTACTTGCGCCCCGGCCCCTTTTCCCGTCGCCCGTCGCGGCTCCCTCGGGGGCCGCTCCCTGGGGGAGGGGGGCGAGCGCCGCCATCCCACCCTGCCTGTGTTAGGGTTTGGGGGTGGCAAGTAGGGGGTGGCGAGTATGGGGGTGGCACTTCCTCATTCCTCCCTTTGCTCCTCCTCCTCCTTCGTCTCCCACTGCTGCAGCTGTCGCTGAGGGGGGTGGATGTGTGGGAGACTAGGGTTTAGGGTTTAAGGGGGGGTGCGTGGGAGTGGAGCTAGGGGTGTAGCAGCGGGTGTGTGTTGGGGGGTGGGACTGTTTGGGGAAGTTGCACGGAGGTTGCCGTCGTGTCGCCAGCAGCACCTGTATTCCGGGGACTTCGTCCGGTAGCCCAGTCGTAGCCAGCTGTGCCAGCCGCCCGTGGGTCCGTTGCTCGTCTGCCGCTACTTTAGCCGCGGGGCCTGTTACTCCTGTATTCCGGGGACTTCGCCCGGTAGCCGCTGTGCCAGTCTGCCTCCTGTTGCCCGTGTGTCTGCAGCTTCAGCCATCGCCTCCTATCTCCTCTCCCCTCACTCTCTCTCCTCCTCCTCACTTGCCCGTTGTGACTACCACTAGCTTTGCTCATAATTGTGAACTCTAAACTATTGCTTCTTGAACTTGTGCTCAGAATGTGTGGTGACATTGTGATCCACCCTGAGCTTGTACTGCTTTGCTTGCTCTGCTGATTACACCCCACTTTGGCTATGGGGGTGTGTCAGAATGTTATCTTATGCTCTAGCCTGTAGTGGGATGCTCTATAGCGAGTACAACCCTTCTAGGGTTTGCTATTTGTATCCTCATTCCTGTTAGTTCAACCCTCTTCTCTCTTCTAACTTTCAACATGAAGAGCTACTGACATATTTGAAAATGCGACTTAGGGCGTGTAAGATCCCCGTGCACAACGATTCGGCCATAAAAAATAGGTGGCCGTAGCGAAAGTAACCATGTCGCGACAGTCGTTCATAGGCTTGCGAAACTCACTAATTTCGACCTTCTAATTTCCTATTTGGTGGCCGAAAAACAAGTCGACTCTTTTCCGACACATGGTTGACTTTAAATTGGCCATGTTGTCATCAGCGGCTGGCTACAGTAAACAACGACGTCGCATATGCTGCTACAGGGAAATCACGACATCGCATACATTTGCGCGAAAACGTCGCACCAAGCCGTAAAAAAGAACAAACCGAAAAATTCCACCCCCGCAAAACGGCCAGCAAATCCGATACAAAACGTGTCAGATTTGGAGGCCACACTGATTTGGCCGAAATTTTGTCGACCTGGTTACGACCAATATGTCGACCTTCGCGAAGGTTTTGACGAGCAAATGGTCGACAGAATTCAGCCAAAACATGTGCACGGGGATCTTACACGCCCTTTCGGCACTAGTATCCTAGACTGACGACACAGCGAACTACCCGCTCAGCCCGCGACCTAGCTTATCGCGAGGTGACAGAGCAGAGTATCATCGTGCAATATTCAAATTGACTAGATGTTACGGCAAGATGGCACTAACGTGCGGTGCTCATATTTTAATCCCTACTACTTGCTATGGGATTGTCAGAATGTCATGTAAGATCCGTCGCTTCAAAAAAGGGACATCACTCTCACCTCTCCCCCCGCTGTCCATCCTTCGTTCCCCCTCACCATCGCGCAACCCCCCCTGTGCGACGCCGCCGCACCGTCGCGAGAAGCACGAATGCGCAGTTGAGAAGAGACAATATAGAAAGAAACGGCAGATTCGGTATGAGCTGACTCAGTAATAGCATAAATAGTGATGGCCATATATAGCATAATCCGAAGCCGCTTCCTCTTGGCGACGGCGAGTCGAGCGTTTGTCGGACGTCGCTCGCTGATCCGCTAGCACCAAGAAGGTCGTAGCGCCGCGTGTATTGAGAGAGGCGGCGTCGCGGCGAGCATCGGAAACAGCCATGTTCCCTCTTGGCTCCTCACCAGGTTTTGCTCCATATCTTCCCTCTGTGCTTCTTTGTGAGCGATGAAAACGCCCACTTATTATGTACCCTTTCCAAGCATCTAAAAACATCCAATTTCCCTTTTCTTCCCCCCCACCATCTCCCCCCTCCCCCCCCCCCCTCTCCCCTTCTCCCCTTTTTCACCTTTCTTCTCCCCCAATCCACCTCCCAAGCCCCCCTCCTCACTTCCCCCCACACTCTACCTCCTTGTGCCACCTGCCATCCTCTCACAGGCGGCGACTCGCTGGAGATCTGGGCGCTGGGCGCTGGGGAACTGGGCGCTGGGGAACTGGGCGCTGGGGAACTGGGCGCTGGGGAACAGGGCGCTGGGGAACTGGGCGCTGGGGAACTGGGCGCTGGGGAACTGGGCACTGGGGAACTGGGCGCTGGGGAACTGGGCGCTGGGGAATTGGGCGCTGTGGAATTGGGCGCTGCACGCGCAGGCAGTGGGTCCGGGCGGCCAATTCATTGTCCGATCAGACGGCCTTAGCCTTCGCCACCAGCAGGCAGCCGAGCAGGTGCGTCCTGCTGGGATGCTGCATGGCTGGGTGCTGCATGGCTGGGTGCAGCATGGCTGGGTGCTGCATGGCTGGGTGCTGCATGGCTGGGTGCTGCATGGCTGGGTGCTGCATGGCTGGGTGCTGCATGGCTGGGTGCAGCATGGCTGGGTGCAGCATGGCTCGGTGCTGCATGGCTGGGTGCAGCATGGCTGGGTGCTGCATGTTAAAATATATGTTGTGTAGCATGCCAACACATGTGACTGTACACCAATTGTGGTGTATAGTTGGGTTGGGACTACACCCAACTTTGGGTGTAGTCTTGCACTTTGGGGTGCCAATCCACCCAATTGTGGTGGAGCCCCCAAATGCAACCCACTTGGCTTATGGGTGCCTCACTTCCCACAAGTGAGGTCATCTCAAGCCAAGTGGGCCTAGGGTTGCCTCACTTCTACAAGTGAGGTCAACCCAACCTATGGTCACCTTCACCCTTCTCTTCCAAGCCTCTCTTCCAACTACGTATGCTAGGTTTCTCTTCTAATCAAGTTACTTGTTCAATTTGCTACTTTAACATGGTATAGAGCTACTTGTTCCTAGGCCTTACCTCTCCCTCCCTTCAGTTTTTTTTTTTCCCATGGGCCCACCCCACAGCTACAAACGCTTTCCTACACGTGGCTCAACTAGCCATCACTAGCATACTCTCGCCGCGACCTACGCCGTCGCCGCCGTTCCCCCCCCCCCCTCCCGCCGCGATTACGCCTTCCTCGCATGCGGATACCACCGCCGCGAGCGCAACGCCGCTGTCCCCTCCTCCCCCCCGCCGCGACCCCCTGTCGCCGCCGCGCCTGATTCGGTGCCGCCTGCGCATCCCGCCGCCGCGACGCCTCGTCGCCGCCTGCCCGTCCCTCCGCCGCGACGTCACGTCGCCGCGTTCCTGCCGCCGCGCCTTCTACGGCGCCGCCTGCGCATCCTGCCGCCGCAACGCCTCATCGCCGCCTGCCCGTCCCTCCGCCGCGACGTCTCGTCGTCGCGTACCCGCCGCCGCGCCTGCTTTAGCGCCGGCTGCGTATCCTACCGCCGCGACGCCTCGTCGCCGCCTGCCCGTCCCTCCGCCGCGACGTCACGTCGCCGCGTTCCCGCCGCCGCGCCTGCTACGGCGCCGCCTGCGCATCCTGCTGCCGAGACGCCTCGTCGCCGCCTGCCCGTCCCTCCGCCGCGACGTCTCGTCATCGCGTTCCCGCCGCCGCGCCTGCTTCAGCGCCAGCTGCGCATCCTGCCGCCGCGACGCCTCGTCGCCGCCTGCCTGTCCCTCCACCGCGACGTCACGTCGCCGCCTCCCCGTCCCACTGCCGCGACCTAACATCGCCGCCTGCGCATTCCGCCGCCGCGACTGCTCGTCGTCACCGTCCCGCGCCCCCCCCCCCCCTCCCCCCGCCGCGATTTCGCATTTCCGCCTCCCCTCCCACCGCCGCACCTGCTTCTGCGTCACCCACGCATTTCGCTGCCCCTTCTGCATCGCCACCCGCCCGCAATTTCCCCCGCCGCAACTGCAACATCGTCGCCCCGTGGTTCCCGTTAACGCAACTGCGCCGCCGCCGCCCTGCCGCCGCCACTGCTTCGGCGCCGCCTGCCCATCCTCCACCGCGACCGCGCCATCCCCGCCCGCACTTCCTGCCGCCGTGACTGCCCCGTCGCCGCCTGCAGATTCAGCCGCAACTGCACCCTCCCTTCCTCCTCTCCCTACTCCTCTCCCCCCCCCCCCCCCCCCCTCCCCCTCCCCCTGCGCCCCTCGTTGCCGCGGCCTGCCTGTCGCCGCCGTCCCTCGTTTCGCCGCCGCAGCCATTTCCCCGCCGCCATCACCTTTCCGCCGCCGCAACCTGCTTGCTGCCGCCGCTCTCAACATCGCCGTCGCGGCCCTTCCGCTGTCGCCTGCGCCCTTCGTCGTCGCGGCCTGCTTGCCGCCTCCGCCCCCGACTTTGCCACCGCCTCCCCTTCCCGCCGCCGCACGTTCGCACAGCCGCCTGCGCCCTTGTCACCGTCGCTCCCTGCACCTTGAACGCCTCTGCCCTCCACCGCTGTCTCCCTCCTTTACCCCCCCCCTCCCTCCTCCTGCCAGCGGCAGCAGCAGCGGCAGCAGGGGAAGTGCAGCAGCCTCAGCAGCAGCAACTTCACCCTTGGCCGCCGCGGGTCCACCCACCGTCATCGATCATGACTGCTACCCCCCCTGCCCCTATCCCCCCTCCTCACTGGAGCAGTGTTACTCCTCGCCCCTCCCTTCTCAACACTCCGACCCTCCACTCCTCCCCCCCCCCCTTATCTCCACCTGCTCACCTCCTCCCCCCCTCCCCATCTGCGGCGTTTCCAGCAGCTCCAGCATCAGCAGCAGCAGCACCTCCAGCAGTGGCAGCAACCACAATTTCTCCAGCCACACCCCCCACATCTCCTCCAGCCGCGGCAATCGCAGCAGCAGCAGTTCTTCCTACACCGACAGCAGCCGCAATCTCTCCAGCCTCACCCGCCACAGTTTCTCCATCCCCAGCAGCAGCAGCAGTCCTTCCAGCAGTGCAGCTGCCACAGTTCCTCCCGCCGCAGCAGCAGCAGCCACAGTTTCCCCAGCCGCAGCAGCAGTAGTGCTTCCAGCAGCAGCAGCTCCCACAGTTCCTTCCGCCGCAGCAGTAGCAGCAGTCCTTCCAGTAGCAACGGCAGCCACAGTTTCTTCAGCCGCAGCAGCAGCAGTGCTTCCAGCAGCAGCACCAGCCACAATTCTCTCCATCCGCAGCAGCAGCAGTCCTTCCAGCAGCAACGGCAGCCACAGTTTCTTCAGCCGCAGCAGCAGCAGTGCTTCCAGCAGCAGCACCAGCCACAATTCTCTCCATCCGCAGCAGCAGCAGTGCTTCCAGCAGCAGCAGCCACCACAATCTCTCCAGCCGCAGCAACCGCAGCAGCATCGGTGGTGCTTCCAGCAGCAGCAGCAGCCCAATCTCTCCAGCCGCAACCGCCACAGTCTCTCCCACCGCAGCAGCCGCCGCAGCAACAGTACTTACAGCAGCAGCACCCGCCGCTCTCTCCCTCTTCTATCCATGAAACAACTCTCCAGTACTCTGTGTTCCCTCCCTCTCCTTCCCCCCCCACCATGGACTTTGTCCTTGACAGTGGGGCCACCGAAACCGCACTAAAAGACGCTGGCACCCTCACCCCCCTCCCACTTCCCACCCAGGTTCATGGTGCCGACTCCAGCTTTTCCATCCCCTGCACTCACCTCTCCACCCTTCCTTGCACCGCCTTCCCATCCGGTACAGTCACCGGTCTCCACATCCCTACCCTTCGCAATAACCTCCTCTCCCACCGTGAACTCCAAGGCGTTGGCATTACCGCCATATACCCAGGCTTTGCTCCCTACTGCGATCTCTATCACACCGCCTGTGGTCGTTTCCTCCTGCGCATTCCCCTTTGCCCTCGCACTCGCCTTTACACGCTCCGCACACCCCGTCCCTCCTTTTGTCACGTCACCACTCGTGCTGGTACTTCCACCGGTCCCCTTCTCCCTCCCCCTCCCCTTCCTCTTCCCCCTCACCCTCCCCCTCCCCTTCTCCCTCTCCCTCCGATATCCTCCTCCTCTACTCCATCCGCCTCCTCCTCCCCCCCCAACTTTTTCCCCACCCCATCCCCCTCCTCCTCTACTGCCCTCTCCCATCCTGCGGTGCTCCTACATCACAGACTCGGCCATCCCAACTTCGCCGCACTTCGCTCCACCGTCACCTCTCGCCTCCTTAACAGCCTTCCTCCCACCTTACCTCCCCTCCCCTCCTCCCCTGCTCCCCCATGCTCATCATGCATTCATGGCAAGCTCAAACAGTCCCCCCATCACAGTCACCACACCTTCGCTCCCGCCCCCATTGACCTTGTTCACATGGATCTCTGGGGCCCTTATCCCATCCGCTCTCGTCAGGGGCACAGGTACATGCTCGTGCTCGTCGACGACCACAGTCGGTACTCCACCTTCTTCTTTCTTCACACGAAAGACCAGGTGCCGGCTGTGGTCATCAACTGGGCTGAGCAGTGCCGCAACCACTTCAAACGTCCCATAGGCCGCCTTCACTCTGACAGTGGGGGTGAGTTCATCAATCATACTCTCTCCACTTATTGCAAAACATACGGCATTCAGCAGACCTCCACCCTTCCCCACTCCCCTCAGCAAAACGGCATCGCTGAGCGTCGCATCCGTGAGATCACCAAGATTGCGCGCTGCCTCATTGCTCACGCCTCCACCCCTCCCTCCCTCTGGAGCTATGCTCTCATTCATGCCGCCCTCCTCAATCTCCGCTCCCACCCTCAGCATCCCTCCTCCTCCCCCACAGAATTCTGGTCCAAGGCCAAGCCTGACGCCGCAGGCCTTCGTGTTTGGGGCTGCAAGGCGTTCGTCCTCATTCCACCGGCCGACCGCTCCCGCGCTGCTGGCAAGCTCGCTCCTCGCGCTCTGGAGTGTGTCTACCTTGGGCACAATCGTGATTCCCCTGGCTACCTATTCCTCCACCCTCCCACCAATCGCCTCATCCGCAGCATTGACGTCGTCTTCGACGAGTCCACTCCCTACTACTCCACCCCTCCTCCTGACCCCCTCCCTCCTCCCACTCGCCCCCTCGCTTGGACCGACACCGTCCTCCCGCCTCTTCTCCCTCCAGCGCCTCTCCTCCCACCTGTCGCCGCTCCACTCCCGTCTTCCTCCTCTGCCGACGTCTACAACCCTGCCGCACCCGCCTCCCCCGCTCACTCCACTGCACCCCCTCCCCCCTCTCCCTCCTCCTCTCATTCTCCTCCTTTCCAGCAGCCGGATCAGCAACAGCAGGGGCAGCAGCAGCAGCAGCAGCCGGATCAGCACCAGCAGGGGCAGCAGCAGCACCAGCAGCAGCCGCGGCAGCAGCAGCAGCAGCCGGAGCAACACCAGCAACGGCAGCAGGGGCAACAGCAGCAGCAGCAACGGCAGCCGGGGCAGCAGCAGCAGCAGCAGCAGCCGGGGCAGCCGCAACAGCAGCAACCGGGACAGAAGCAGCAGCAGCAGCACAGTCAGGAGCAGCAGACACAGCAGCAGCACGGTCCGCAGCAGCCACAACAACAGGGCAGCAGCTTCAGCAGCACCAGCAGCAGCAGCGGCGCCGTGCTACTTCCCGCTCCTCCCCCTTCCTCCTCCCTTACATCCATACCCGCTCGGTGGACAAAATCCTTGGGGCTCCTCCTCCTGCCTCCATTCAGCTCCTTGAGGACTCCCATGAGGAGTTCCTCAACATTCGGGAGCACACTTCGTTCCTTGCCTCCCTCTACCTTGACTTCCTGGGCTTTCCTGTCCTTGGCGCCACCATCACCCCCACCATCTTCACTCCCTCCACCTTCTAGGAAGCCATCACCTGCCCTGACACGGATAAATGGATAGCAGCGATCCTCCTGGAGTGTGAGGCATTCATTCGCAACAACTCCTTTGTCGATGTCCCCCTCCCAGCCGGCGCCAACCTCGTGGACGGGAAATGGGTCTTTTGGGTGAAGTAGCTGCCGGGCGAGGAACCGGTGTACAAGGCCCGCTACTGCGCCAAGGGGTTCACGCAGACTTGGGCTGAGGACTACGGGTTCACCTACGCCCCCACCGCCAAACCACCCACCCTTCGCGCCGCCCTCGACATTGGCGCACGTGACAACATGGAGATCGATTCCATGGACGTCTCTAATGCGTTCCTGCAGGGTGACTTGCACGAGCGCATTTTCCTCCGGCAACCCCCCGGGTTCCACGCAGCCTTCCCTGAGAACACTGTCTGGCAGCTGCGCCGCCCTGTCTACGGTTTGAAGCAGGCACCGCGTGAGTGGCATGCGAAGCTGGCTGCCACCTTAGGGTCTCTCGGCTTCTCTGCTTCCCACTCCGACGCCAGCCTCTTCATCCGCTCCTCCCCCCGCCGATTCTTCATTCTGGTGTATGTGGACGACATGATCCTGCTCTCTGACACCAGGGCCGACATGGAGCAGATGAAGCTGTCCCTGCAGCAGCGTCTCAAGTGCAAAGACCTTGGCGCCCTCACTCACTACTTGGGCATGGCCATCACGCGCAACCGCCCTGCTCGCACCATCACCCTCTCACAGTCCCACTACATCGGCCAAGTCTTGGAGAAGTTCGACATGGCGCAGGCCAAGCCTGTCTCCACCCCCCTCCCTTTCGGCCACCAACTTGCACCACCCTCCTCCCCCACCTCCTCCCCCCACCCCTATGCCAAGCTCGTTGGGTCCCTGATGTACGCGATGATGTGCACCCGCCCCGACCTCGCCTACCCCATCAGCGTGCTCGCCCGCTTCGTCGGCACCGGTCGTCATACTGAGGAGCACTGGAAGGCTGCCAAGCGGGTCCTCCGCTACCTTCGCGGGACCAAGGACCTTGCTCTCACCCTTGGTGGCCCTTCCCCTCCTCTTCTCTCGGGCTTCAGTGACTCCTCTTGGGCTGACACGCAGCCGGACCGCCGCTCCTCCCAGGGCTACAGCTTCACCCTTGGCAGCGGCCTCATCAGCTGGCGCTCCACCCGCTCCTCCGCCATCTCTCTCTCCACCTGCGAGGCCGAGCTCTACGCTGGCACCATGGCCGCCCAGGAGTCCTGCTGGCTTTGTTTCCTTCTTGCAGAGCTTGGCGCCCCCCAAACGTGCCCCACCCTCTGGTGCGACAATGCCAGCACCATCCATCTCACTCAGGACCCCGTCTATCACGCCCGCTCCAAACACATCAAGCTCCGCTACTTTTTCATTCGCGAGCTCGTCCAGAAGGGCCTTATTGCCGTTCGCAAGATTGCGACCGAGGCCAACTTGGCCGACATCTTCACTAAGGCCCTCCTTCGCCCTGCGCACTCTGCTTTCCTCCGCCTCATTGGCCTCGCTCGCCCGGGCGCCCCTTGATTCAGGGGTTGTTCTCTTCCTGTGTTAGCATGCTAAGGGGTTGTGTTAAAATATATGTTGTGTAGCATGCCAACACATGTGACTGTACACCAATTGTGGTGTACAGTTGGGTTGGGACTACACCCAACTTTGGGTGTAGTCTTGCACTTTGGGGTGCCAATCCACCCAATTGTGGTGGAGCCCCCAAATGCAACCCACTTGGCTTATGGGTGCCTCACTTCCCACAAGTGAGGTCATCTCAAGCCAAGTGGGCCTAGGGTTGCCTCACTTCTACAAGTGAGGTCAACCCAACCTATGGTCACCTTCACCCTTCTCTTCCAAGCCTCTCTTCCAACTATGTATGCTAGGTTTCTCTTCTAATCAAGTTACTTGTTCAATTTGCTACTTTAACACTGCATGGCTGGGTGCTGCATGGCTGGGTGCAGCATGGCTGGGTGCTGCATGGCTGGATGCAGCATGGCTGGGTGCTGGATGGCTGGGTGCTGCATGGCTGGGTGCAGCATGGCTGGGTGCTGCATGGCTGGGTGCAGCATGGCTGGGTGCTGCATGGCTGGGTGCTGCATGGCTGGGTGCAGCATGGCTGGGTGCAGCATGGCTGGGTGCTGCATGGCTGGGTGCTGGATGGCTGGGTGCTGCATGGCTGGGTGCAGCATGGCTGGGTGCTGCATGGCTGGGTGCAGCATGGCTGGGTGCAGCATGGCTGGATGCAGCATGGCTGGGTGCTGGATGGCTGGGTGCTGCATGGCTGGGTGCAGCATGGCTGGGTGCTGCATGGCTGGGTGCAGCATGGCTGGGTGCTGCATGGCTGGGTGCTGCATGGCTGGGTGCAGCATGGCTGGGTGCAGCATGGCTGGGTGCTGCATGGCTGGGTGCTGCATGGCTGGGTGCTGCATGGCTGGGTGCTGCATGGCTGGGTGCTGCATGGCTGGGTGCTGCATGGCTGGGTGCAGCATGGCTGGGTGCAGCATGGCTGGGTGCTGCATGGCTGGGTGCAGCATGGCTGGGTGCTGCATGGCTGGGTGCTGCATGGCTGGGTGCAGCATGGCTGGGTGCAGCATGGCTGGGTGCAGCATGGCTGGGTGCTGCATGGCTGGGTGCTGCATGGCTGGGTGCAGCATGGCTGGGTGCTGCATGGCTGGGTGCAGCATGGCTGGGTGCAGCATGGCTGGGTGCTGCATGGCTGGGTGCAGCATGGCTGGGTGCTGCATGGCTGGGTGCTGCATGGCTGGGTGCAGCATGGCTGGGTGCTGCATGGCTGGGTGCAGCATGGCTGGGTGCTGCATGGCTGGGTGCTGCATGGCTGGGTGCTGCATGGCTGGGTGCAGCATGGCTGGGTGCTGCATGGCTGGGTGCAGCATGGCTGGGTGCTGCATGGCTGGGTGCTGCATGGCTGGGTGCAGCATGGCTGGGTGCAGCATGGCTGGGTGCTGCATGGCTGGGTGCTGCATGGCTGGGTGCTGCATGGCGGAAAGAAGCCTCCTTAGCTTCTCATACCTTCTCACGCCCCTCCCCGTCATTCTGATTTTCGTCGTCATGCATAGACTCGTCTTTTGCGATTCTCCCTTGTGGTACTGTGCCCACGTGCCATGCATGCGCTCATATTCATTTATGAAAGCCCTTTCTCCGGCCCCCTTCTCCCCCTACTCCCTTCACCTCGCCACCCCCACCCTTCTCTGTTTCACTCCATCCGTGTAAAGATTCATTCCCTTGCCTACTCCTACACTTCTTCTCGTTTCCTCTAACCCTTCCAAGTTCCACCCCTCCTTTCCGTGCACCTTCCTCACCACCCTTCCCTCCATTCTGCGCCTCTCACTCACCTGTCAATCCTTGGTTGGTGGCTTCATTCCATTCCTTCAGGACCTTTTGTTTGGGATGTGGCAGTGGAGTGCTGAGATATGTTGACATTTGATTGTGTTGTTGGTGTGGGGATCGGCATGGACGAAGGGGGAGAGGGACGTGGGAGAGGGGCAGGGGACAGGAGCATGGGAGAGGACTTGATGGGGGAATGGGACGAGAGAGATTAGGGAGGTAGAGAACGATGAGTGAGGAGCAGAGAGGGGGTTGGGTGGGTGGGGATGGGGGGGAAGAAGAGGGGGGGGGGAGGGGTGGAGGGGGGGTGGAAGTGAAAGAAGATGTGGGAGCTGAGAGAAAGGAGCGGGGTTATGGTTTTCTGATTGGTGGAAGTAGATGGGGGTCTGAGAAGTAGGAAGGCGTGGGGAGTTAGTCGTTACTGCTGAGGCAGATGCGCTGCTGCTGGTTGGCCGTTACTGGCCATTCACGAGGGGGGGGTGGGGGAGAACAAAAACAAAGGGGAGGGGAGGCAGGAAAGGGGAAGGGCCAGGGACAGGAGATGGGAGTGTGGCAAGACAGACAGTGAATAATGGGCTGTGATGTATTTACCTTCAGTGTCACCACATGCACTTTTCCATCCTCATCGCCTCTCATCCTCCCATGTCTCCATGCCTCGCCCCCTGTACCACCACCCACCACCAGCTCAACGCTGCGCCTTCCACATGCTGCCATGTGGCACGAGACTAGTGGATGCGCAAGGAGCGGACGGGGAAATGTGGAAGAGGCGGTGCAGGTGGGCAACAAGGTGGAGGCGGTGCAGGTGGGCAACAAGGTGGAGGCGGCGCAGGTGGGCAACAAGGTGGGGGCGGTGCAGGTGGGCAACAAGGTGGAGGCGGTGCAGGTGGGCAACAAGGTGGAGGCGGTGCAGGTGGGCAACAAGGTGGAGGCGGTGCAGGTGGGCAACAAGGTGGAGGCGGTGCAGGTGGGCAACAAGGTGGGGGCGGTGCAGGTGGGCAACAAGGTGGGGGCGGTGCAGGTGGGCAACAAGGTGGAGGCGGTGCAGGTGGACAACAAGGTGGGGGCGGTGCAGGTGGGCAACAAGGTGGAGGCGGTGCAGGTGGACAACAAGGTGAGGGCGGTGCAGGTGGGCAACAAGGTGGAGGCGGTGCAGGTGGGCAACAAGGTGGGGGCGGTGCAGGTGGGCAACAAGGTGGGGGCGGTGCAGGTGGGCAAAAAGGTGGGGGCGGTGCAGGTGGGCAACAAGGTGGGGGCGGTGCAGGTGGGCAACAAGGTGGGGGCGGTGCAGGTGGGCAACAAGGTGGAGGCGGTGCAGGTGGGCAACAAGGTGTGGGCGGTGCAGGTGGGCAACAAGGTGGAGGCGGTGCAGGTGGGCAACAAGGTGGGGGCGGTGCAGGTGGGCAACAAGGTGGGGGCGGTGCAGGTGGGCGAGCCAAGGTGCAGATGAGAGCAGGGCTAGTGGGGAGAGGCTGGCCAAGGTGCAGATGAGAGCAGGGCTAGCAGGGAGAGGCTGTCCAAGCTGCAGATGAGAGCAGGGCTAGTGGGGAGAGGCTGGCCAAGCTGCAGATGAGAGCAGGTCTAGTGGGAGAGGCTGGCCAAGCTGCACCCAGGAGGGCGTGCGGCTTGGCCTGTTTGGGAGGAGTAGGGGGGCCTGGGGTTACTTGGGAAGGGGGGATGGTGTGGGGGTAAGGGAGCAGAAGGGGAGGAAAGAGGAGGCAACTAGGGAGAGGTTGGTCAAGCTGCACCATGGAGGACGAGGGAGCAGCTTGGCCTGCCTTGGTTTGGGACTGGGGGCGCTTGGTGGGGCATGGGACGTGGGGGATGGTTGAGCCTGGGAGGGCAGGGGGGCGGAGGGGAGGGAGAGGAGGGCAGGGACTGGGGAAGAGGTTTCTTGCCGAGGGAGAGGAAGAGAGGCTGATTTGTAGGTGGGGTCACCTTGGGGGTGGAGGTAGGAAGTGGCTTGGGACGGGGTGGGAAGAGGGGATCGTTTGCGTGAGCAGTGATAGTCAGAGTGAGACGCAAGGAGGAGATGCTGGGAGAGTTGGTCGAGGCAGACGGTCATGCAGATTGCGCTGCACTGACTGCAGAATGTTGGTTAGTACAAGTGGTGAATGGGGGAGAAGACAAGAAGAGAGAGCAGAGGAGGGGGGAATGTGCAGAGCTGCAGTATGCTAATGGTTGTGAGCTGAATGTTTATGCTTGTGCACCATGCTGATAGTTTTGCAGTGTTCTTGCATTGACTCTCTCCTCTCCTCCTCTCTCCTTTCCCCCACCCATCCTGCAGTTGCCAGAGGCGACACATTCCCTCTGGAGTGCATGTATGCACGAAAGCCAGGCCACCTAGCAGAGGGCAATTTGAGGCGGTTTACAAGGAGGGATGGCCTCCCACGTTTCACCCTCTTGTTTCTCGGGATTTTCTCTCAATTTATTTGTCTGACTTGGCTCTGTTTAATGATCATGATCGTCCACTTTCGTCCTCCCAGTTTTCCAAAGTCGAGCCTTATCCATCTTTTCTCCCCATTCCCCGTTGATGTCTCCCCCTCGTGGCCTCCCTTCCCCCTGCTTTTTAAAAGCAGTTATGAGCAGTGCTTGGGAAGGTCGAGCACATTCCCCAGCATGAGCCCCCTTCGTCGCTCCCTGCATCAGCAACATGTTTTCCGTCCTCCCCCTCTTTGCCCCTCCCCACCTCTTCCCCCCCCTCTCTCCTCCCCTCTTCCCCCACCTCTCCCCAACTCTCTCCCCTTTGCTGTCCTCACTCGCCCATTGGCAGTGTCTCAACTGGACAGTTTCTCGTGCGAGTCCTAAAATATGGTGCAAGTGAGTTGGACTGTATCTGAGACAATTTCTTTTTCCCATGTCCCCCACGCTCTTCACCATGTCGGCAAAATCATGTGCCCCTTGTGTCTGTATGTCTATCCCGCTTTCCCCCCGCCTCTCATTTTGCCTTCCCTCTGCCTCTCCCGCTCCCCCCCCCCCCCCCCCCCCCCCTCTCCTGCTGGACCCCATGCACCTCTGTCAGTGACACTGATTCCTCCATCCCCTCTTCCTTTCCCTTCATCCCCACCTCCTCTACCACCCTGTCAACAGGAGCGTTGTTTGGCCCCGTCCTCGCTTGGGTGGAGCCGACCTCGTGGCCGGATGTGCGGGGGTTGCAGCCGACCTGCAGCAGTGGGCACGAGGGCCACTGCAAGGGCGTCGAGCTGGAGGGCGCCTGGCTGAAGGGCGCCGAGCAGGATGACGCCGTCTTGGACGCCTGGACGGCGTCCTGGGAAGCTGGACGCCGACGTAGGCGTCTGCACGGCGTCCTAGGAGCCTGGGACGCCTCCCTGGGCGTCTGCACGGCGTCCTGAGGGCCGGGACGCCGACCTAGGCGTCCTGGGGGCCCGAACGCCGACCTGGGCATCTGGTCGGCGTCCTTGGAGGCTGGATGCCGCTCTGGAGGTCTGCACGGCGTCCTGGGTGTCTGGACGCCGACCTGGGGGGTTCGGACGGCGTCCTGGGCGTCTGGACGCCGGGCATTGGTGGCTACGGACTGTGCTGGTCGATCAGGCGTGGTTGCCCGGTCGACCGGGATACACAGGCGACGTGCGCGAGTGTCGCCGAGGTGGAGTTTGCGAGGCTGACCTCGAGGGTGGTATCACGAGGTCGACGTGGCTGGTGTCGCTGGAGTTTGCTAGGCGTCTGTGCTATGCGCGTGACAAGGAAGTGCGCACCAACCAGCTGCACGCACCTGCGAAGCAGGTGCACCGTTGTTCTGTGGGTGCAACGCTGTGCAGCGGACTTGCTGCAGCGTTGGCACACCGTGGACTTGGAACGTTGGCGAACCGCTACTCTGCAACGCTGGAGCGGTGCGAGCTCTGCTGCGCTGGAGCGCGGTCGACCGTTTTGCGCTGGAGGTCGACCAACAGCCTAGCTAGCTCTGATGTAGTCTGTGTTGCCAATGTTCTTGCTACCATTGTTGTCAATCTTTGCTAGTGAAACTCTTGCAAAATCTCCCCGTGAATGTGCAAGCAGAGGACACACAAGCAAACGACTAAGGAACGCAGAGATCACACGAGCACCCGTGCCTAGCCCGTAGTCTAGCTCCCGTTGCTGCAGTTATCTCTGCACACCCCACCCAACTCCTCCCCCTCTCCCCCTAGATGAACCTCTTAGACGTGTAAGGGGCCCTCATGGCTCATGCACAACTATGTTGGAAAATACGCTCTGGGTAGGCTGGCGTACCACGTATATACGATTGCGTATGTGCTTGGTACGCTAATACGCTTCGAATTCGTGAAAAAACGCCCGGGCAACCCGGCGAAAAAAAAAAATGAAATTGAAAAAAATTTGCGACATTTATTAGGGCTTCGCGACTGGTTACCGCGACCAAGCACATCGCCCAACCCACGTCTGAGATTCAAATTTCGGAATCCACACCTCCCACCACCCCAACCACACATCACCCCACCAAACCTCTCATATCCAACCACCCCTCTCAAATGTCCAGCACGTCATCTGAGCATTTACTCGTTGATGCCTTCCTATCCTTCATTCGACTCTCTCCTCCTCTGTTTTATTCCCGAGCTCAGATCTCCCGTTTTCCTCAAGCAGTTTACCGTTCCTTAGCGCGCCATGGCATCGAACTCCACCCCTCCTAGCGCGACGAGCAATGTAGCATCTGCTCACGCGTCTAGTAGTGCGATCAACACGCAGCCTGTTGAGGCTGGCCTTTCGATATTTCTGGATATTTCTGAAATAAAAAATTGACATGTGTTGTTGTCGGCCTGAACCCCCCCCCCCCCCCCCCCCCCTGAAAAAGGTTTTTTTATACCTGCCCGGGAAAAAAAGTTTTATCTGCCCACCAGCGTATTTTTGCGTATCAGCAGTACACCAGCCTTGGCGTACCGCGTATATACCAAGTGCATAATACGCTAACGTATTATACTCGGTACTCGTATTTTCCAACGTAGATGCACAACAGGAACATGCGCCCCTAGCGTCTCTCTGTGCACCTGGCCCCAGTGTCCTCCCCCTTTTCTCGCGTTCTCCCCACGCTTCTTCGCACTTTGCTCTTTCCCTGAAACCCCTTGAGATAGACCTCCTACACATGTGCGGCCATGTCAGTGGTGCTTACAGGCAGCAGCACGAATGGAAACCCGAGCAAGCATGACAGCAGCCCCTGCTGCTGCTGCCGGTGCTGGCTGGTCTAGAAAACCGTTGGCTGACAATTCTGCTTATTCTGCTAGCTGCTGACCCTGGTGTGAATGGTGCCGTTGCTTGCTGGTACTGCTAATACTGCTGGTGAGTATGGGATTGCACAAACGATGATGGCAAGTGAATCCCTATCCTCGTGTAGTGCCCTTTGTCTCATCTCCTGCCTCCATGTCTTCTTGCTGTGTATCGAAATGTTTACTTGCCACCCCATTTCCTCTACTACATGCTTGCCCTTTTCTGGTCCCTCGTGCCTGTTCTCGTATCTCTGTTATCCGCCCCGTGCCTTCATTCTGCAGTTCCCAGCCATCAATCGTATTCTTAAATTGTCCACAACCCCTATTAAACCCCCCTCTTCTTGCTCCCTTCAATCCCTTTTGTCCCCAACCCAACCCCTCATTCTCCCCCCGCTCACCTTCCCCCTCCTGCCCTCCCATTCCTTTCTCATCATTCTCCTGCTTTCAGCACATGCCCCACCAGCAGCACAGCAGGATAGCAGAGTCATGCAAATGGTATTACGTCTTTTGATACCTGCAAACTGTGCTCCTTATTGCATGTTATAGCACCTGATAATAATAGTAAAAAAGAATCCTTCTCACCCCCACCCTCCGACCCCTCCCACTCCCAACCCATCTCACTATCACATCTGCTCCACCACAGGAAACAGCAGGGGAGCAGAATCGTGCAAATGAATTCATGTTTATTGGTAGCCGCAAAGCACACTCCTGTTTGGTAGCGCACTCCTGTTTGGTAGCTCACTCCTGTTTGGTAGCTCACTCCTGTTTGGTAGCCCTCCCACCCTCCCTCCCTCCCTCCCTCCCTCCCTCCCTCCCTCTCGGTCTCCCTTGGTCCAGCCATCCTACATCTGCATCCCACGTGCTCTTCTCCATCTCATCCTCTTCCCACTTCTCTCTCTCATCCCCAGGCATCCACCCAATGCATCAAAACTCAATGTGAGCTCTCACCACTTCCCGTCTCGCCCTCCCTTCCTCCACTCTCATATGCCCATTCGTTCTTTTTGTCGGGTAACCTGCCCCACCCTTCTCCCACAAACAGGTGGCACTGGTTGCTGTGCTCTTCCTCTCTGTCACCTCCTTCCTGCACCCCAAGCATGTGGCGCCTGCTGCCCCCCTAGATGCAGGCCCGCACCATAAATGTTTCCCTGCCAACCCCTTTCTCCAGAGTCAGCAACACTTGAAAATGAGGAAGGGGGGTTGGGGGGAATGTGGTGGTAAGGGAGGTTGGGGAGGAGGAAGAAAGGGGAAAAATGGGTTAAGGATTATAGCAGCAGGGCAGTAATACCATGTGCTTAAGTCCCTTCTCCTTCACCTCTCTTGGCTTCACCTTGGCTCTCCCTTCCTCCTACCCTCCCTCTCATTCCATCCGATTTTTGTTTCTGCCAGTTTTCCCTCCATCTATTCAACCCCATCATTCTCTATCCCTTTCAATTGTGTGGTGTGTAGGTAAGCGACTTGTCGGCCCAGCATCCACCACCAGCACAATAAGAGACCTTCCTTGGCTGCTAGTTCGTGCACCGTATTCAGGGCTGATGCTATCAGACTAAATGGTACGGTATTATTAATTTGACAATGTGAGCTATTGTCCCCTGATTTTTTATATTATTCGTGAACCCTGATTGGATCAGATTACGGTTATAGTGTTTACATTTCATCCCTGATTATGTGTATAGTGCATCAGCCTTATCTATTACCGTAGGGAAGCTGAGTGTAAGGTCCCTGAATGCGACTTTATCGGGACAAAGTTTCCCAATACACCCGCCTTCAAAATGGTGGCAATACTATGCCAGCACATGAGCACACTGCACCAACAAGGACACCCAGATTGTCAAATATTGTAGTCTTAGTGATGTGTGTTATAGGGGGTACAACTGATAGGGTTAGGTTTATGTACCCAACCAACCTTAGTCACATCAACACTTTCATTCTTGACATGGTATCACCTAGGTTAGGATCCTGTGGGATCCCGTTCCTCTCGTTCACGTCCGTAGCGCCCGAGCCTGTCCTGTACCCTAGTGCCCGTTACGCCCCTAGCGCCTATCGTGCTCGTCTGTCCCGTACCCTAGTGCTCGTTATGCCCCTAGCACCTATTGCGCTCGTCTCTCTCATGCCCTAGCGCCCGCTGCGCCTGCCGTCGCGCCGCCCCTGCTGTCCCGTCCCGTCCCCCTCTGCTGTCCCGTCCCATCCCGTCCCCCCTGCTGTCCCATCCCGTCCCGTCCCCCCTGCTGTCCCGTCCTGTCCCGTCCCCCCTTCTGTCCAGTCTCGTCCAGTCCCCCCTGCTGTCCCGTCTCGACCCGTCATCCCTGCTGTCACGTCGCTTCGCGCCTGTCTCTACTGTCCCGTCGCGTCGTGCTGTCCTGCCGCGTCACTAAAGGAATGTATTGACTCACTAAAGGGACCGATTATATCCTGCTCGTCATTTACGTAGATGACCTGCTTTACATCGGCTCAACTGACGACATCACGACTTGGTTCGAAGGGGAGCTGTAGCGGGATCTCGCGCTTACCGTCTCGTCTACCGTGACACAGTATCCAGGACTCAACATACAAGAAGGGGAGAGCGCGATCTATCCCAGCGCCGCAAAATACGCCGACACCATCGCCAAGCGCTTCGGACTAACTCCAGCTACCATCACCACACCATATCGCTACACCGACGGAAATTACAAGGAAGCCTCTGCTCTGCTCAAACCCGCCGGCATTCGCGACTACCAACGAAAGCTAGGCTGTCTACTCTTCGCAGCCGTTACTTGCCGACCGGACCTATCTTACTCAGCTAGCCAAGAAGCAGATCACATGGCCGAACTCAACCCAATTTTCACTTCCTCGTCAGCACCCCGACAATCGGCCTAACCTACCACAAAAGCGAAACTACGACGCCCAAGCTAATCGGCTACGTGGATGCTGACCACGCCGGCGACTCCGACAACAGACGAGCGCGCACCGGCTACATCTACCGACTCGAGCCTATCGGACCTATCTCGTGGCAGTCGAGCAAACAATAATTAATCGCTCTCTCCTCAGCTGAAGCAGAATATATCGCACTCTTAGTCGTCACTGTAACGAACCGCAACAGCAACAGCAAAACATTTAGTTGTACCTTTTCGTATTCCTTGTAATCTTATAAAAACCTTTGTATTACCTTGCTATAATCAATCTCTTGCTCTCACACACTAGTGCAAGTTGGTTCAACAAGTTCACTAAGAACGCTTCCGCAACTACAACATTCCTACTCAGGGTCTTAGCCTTGAAAGATCTTGAGGGCTTTTCTCAGCCCAACAAAACATAACGGAATACCCAAGGTGTTCTACACTTTCGTGGTTACAATGTAGGATCACCAAGCTATGGCCCATTTTCCTATGAAAGCACCCTCAATGCATGTGAGGAAAAATACCAAAAGAGTTAACCCCCATTGAAACAGAAAATACCTCAGGGAACGCAAATAAAATCCAAACCTACTGTTCTTAAGCATGTCCTTCCATTGTATTCAATGAAACTTGTGACAGCTCCACGCTTGGCCCCACCGTAGAAGCTTAAAGCTCCCCCACACGTCAGAGATGGTGACACTAGCTTGAGCCTGCCCTGCTTGCAGCTGTGAGCAATCAGGGACTCGTAGTCTGCCATGAGGCACACCTGGGGTAGAAATTACATGTGCGGATTGGAGAAAAGAAGAGTGTAAAAAAAAAAGGACGGAAGGAAGGAAGGGAGAGAAAGACAGAAAGAAAGAAAGAAAGAAAGAAACCCGGCACGCCAATACACATTGAATTGCCATAACCCAAAAGCTGTGGTTCTCCAAACCTCACCTGCACGCTGTTCACACTGGCAACAGTGGCGCTGGATGCAGGAATTGTGCGGGGACAGATGAGGCCGGGATTGTTCCGGTAGAGCTCAATCCAGCTGTCTGCAGTCACTGCTACCGGCCCCTCAGGTTCCTCCTCACTAGACTCCAAGGCCTCCTGCAGCAGGCCCTCACACGTGTCCTGTGCTGTGAGCATGCCGTACTGCAAGCACTTAGGGGTGGTGAAGGCGAAGGTGGCGTTGCGCTCGAGGCACAGAGAGTGGCCTGCCTTGATGGGCTTAGAGCAGTCGAGGCTGGGATTGAGAGAGATAAGATAAATCGATGAGATTCCAAGCTGGGTGCTGATAGAGGAACAGCTGTCACCCTGGAGGAGATAGAGGGCGAGAGAGAAAGCAGAGGAGGGCTTATTGAAGGGAAACAGCACAGTGAGACAACGGCTTGCAAGAAAATGCTGCTGCTCATTGCAGTGGTGTTGTGTGTTGATGGTCATGGATAGATGGTAGAAGGGTGCCTCTTATTGCATCGTTTTATACAGACACATGGACTTAGAAACAACAATAAATAAAAAATCACAGCTTTCACTAGATAAATCTCCTCTTGGGAACCAGGGCTCACATTGATTGTATAGAAGAAGGCAGTACAGGGGGTGGTAGTAGTGCTGCCCAGCCGAATTACTTTGCCTTTGGCCAGTGGTTGGCTGCAGTCCACGGCCTGCAATACATAGGAGGGGTTCCATGTAGGATGTGTGATTGGATAGTACCAGACATTTACATCCATCCTACAAATGAGCATATGCTGGGACTGGCTGGGGTTGTGCCAAGCATGTGAGAAATTTGAACCATGGCCTGAGCAACAAGGATAAGCCACTTGCGGCCATCCCATTCGTGACTCAAACAAGGCTGATGACAACCCAGAGGCAGCTCGGACAGAAGGCGGGTAGAGAGATCTGAACGATGGGTTGCTGGAGTCGGAACTCGAGAAAAAACCAAACTTCCATGAAAGAAAGTGACACACCAGGACCACGGGGCTTGGCCTGGGGCTGGCCCACCATGGTCCGAATTGTCGGATATGTTGGCCCTGCCCATTGGAAACCAGGGCTGGCTCTAGCTAGGCTGGCTCCATGCCTGCCTCACGTTTATGTTTACCTTGTATGTCTCCATATTGAACCTCCTATAAACATAAACACTCACCTGCAGTGTACGATATAGTATTTTGGATGGCATGCCCTTCGGAGAAGATATTAGTTCTTGGAGAAATGCTTTTCCCCATAATGTCGGATGATTTCTCCACCAAAGGCAAGTCCACATATTAGGATGAAAGGGTTAGCCCTCTCTCACCATGGTTTGCTGTGGAAGGCTAGCCAAGGAAAGACCGGTTGCAGAAAGGATGTCGGAGCACCACCAGTTAGCACCGGTGACCGTCAAAGTAGTTGCTGTGGTGTTGGCTGGAGGGACAGGAGAATAACACACGTACGGAGTAGATGGTGCCAAGAAAGTGCACTTGAGGTCATCTGAAGCTTGGTGATGCTACACTGGAAGGTTGTCACATTGGATAATCCAGCTTGCTGGGATAACATCCAACCCATCATACTCTAACAAATGCATGAATCAGAAAAAAAAGGGCTACATGAGTGATTGAGGCCAGACTGGCAATACCAGGATCACAGGTGGAGGAGTTGTAAACGGTCCTGCTCTCTATGTAGTTGGGAGGGCAGATGCAGGAGTAGGCGCCCTTGCCATCATTCACGCATGTGCCCACAGCGCAGGGGTTCATAGGATAAGAACCGCACATGTCAACTGTTGGATTCATGAGAGGGGGTGAACATGGGCAGTGAGAGATGCAATGTAAGGGATGCCAACAGAAAAGGTGGACTTACAGAAACACGCCATGGGTGCATCAGCATCTCCACATAGTTTCTTTAAATAGACTTGCAGGAACACCTCCACATAGTTTCTTTCAATAGACTTGCTTGGCTGTAAGCATGACTCACCGTATGCACATGTGTTGGAGCCTAATCCGTTTGCCACCTCAACGAAGGGTTGTGTGGCCTGGTTAGGTATGGTGCAGTCGCAGGCGTTGGTGTTGGCCTTTGCATTTGGCTTGCATGTGAAGCGACCACACGGGTTCATACTAGGCTGCAGGTCCCCAACGCCCTTGTAGCTCTTTTGGCCGCAAAGATCCTTGGGAACTGCAGGGAATGTGGAGAGGACACGCAAGTAGTATGGCAGATGTGAATAGCTATGAGAAATGTGAATGTGCGTTTAATTTTGTGACCTAGCAAGATTATGTCTCATTGTATGAACAGTGGTTGTAGGCATGGCTATGAACAGCGAAGTACATCCCTTACTCTTGACAATAGGGTAGATGCCAGGCAGCACGTTGATGCCACACACGCCATCCCCTCCCTGAATGTCCATGCGCATGTGGCCCCTGTCGCCCCACTCCACTCCCCACGAGTTGCGGATGATCCAATAAGGTGGAACATTGGAGCTTTGACTGTCATCATTTGTTGAAATTAGGTACCCAACAACGAGAACAGCATGGTTCAGGTTGCCAGTGTAGCAAACAGGGTCTTGGTACTTAACGCTCTGGAAAAGGAAGGGATGATGGTGAAAATAATGTAATTATTTGAGCAACATATGCATTAGGCCACAAGCAACGGTACTACATGGCAATGTAAATGATAGTAACTCTCGTAGGGCATATATGTTCATAAACGGTTGAAGCCCCTACAAGGTATCCATGCCTCCACTCAATGTCTAAGGATTTTTAAACCACACGACCACAAATATCACATAATATCGTGATCTGTACTCACCCCATCATATTGTACGAATGTGGAGGCAGAGGCTTCGATGTGAACCACCACTGGCTGCCGCCGCACTGCCAGCATGAGCCCCACATACCCCTTGAACTGTGTGCGCTCAACACCCTGGATGGGGAAGCTTAATATCTGCAGGCCAGAGCACAGAGACAGTTGGGAGATTAATATATTAATAAAAGAACTACTTAGAGCTTGGATTCAACCTACTAGTACAGACAGGATGACACAGGAGAAAAGAGAGAAGAAGGATCACAAAAGATGAAGTGATACAATATGGCGTACCAAAGATTGTGAATGTGCTTGCTGGGTTGCATGGAATTTGCGAACAAATCTTTCTTACCGAATTGGTAAACCCCATAAATCCACCACGTAGTAGAGTGAGGAGCTTTTCAAAGGCAGCAGCAGGGGAGTTTCCTGTGGTGCACTTGGCAGCAGGGGAGGTGAGCCCCATTGCTGCAAAGAGCGAGTCCACTGACAGCTGTGGAGCCTCCTGGTTCAGTGCAATGCCGTATGCCGCCTCCACACTCGCCACCACCGCATATGCCCAACTCGCATCTGGAAGACGGTAGTGTTTTGAAGGATTAAGATAGTGAAAACGAAGAGGGGTACTAGCCTGCCTCCATTTTTCGGAAAAAGACCACCGCAAAAATATATATAAAAAAAACCACTAAGAAATCACAACACACCACAACCTCTGAGTGTGAAAAAGGCTAGATTCTCTTGTACAGGTTATTCAGTCTAACCATGCCTACTCACTGCAGTCCTTCTGGTTCTTGACGGGCCAGCCGAGGAAGGACATGGAGTCCCAGGAATGGGAGCTGCTGACGTGCCATTCATTCGGCTGGTTGGGCAAACCTTGGTAGTCCACACTCATGTAGCGCATGAAGGGACTGGCTCCCACTGGCGCATATGACGCTGGAGAAATACTCAGGCCAAAGGCTGAGATGGTGAAGGTGGTTTCAGAGCAGAGGAAGTAGTTGTTGAAATGGGGAGGGATGTGGTTGTACAAACATGCGCTTTATTAAATCGGTAACACTGGAGAGAAAGACAGCAGAACAGAGTGTGAGAATGCTGTATAACATACAAACACCAGGCTGTTGAAAGAGGACCATTGGGAGATAAAATATATGAGAACCAGGAGTTCATTAGTCATTGATGCAATGGAAAAGAGGGTTGCTTACGTGGAATGATGCCCACTGGATTGTGTACAGCAGGAAGACCTGCAAAAAAAAGGCACACATGAGCAACACCACACAATATGGAGAATTGATTCAAAGCATGGAGAGTTGAGAAGCACTCAACGGGCTGAACAATCTCATATAGTCTCACTTGTGGTACTGTAAATCCGATACCTTAGCACCACAAAATAGCTGTAGAGGCAACTAAAGCTTTACATGTGTGCAATGCATGTAGAGCAGCAATGCATGCGATAATCTCAATCAGCATCACCCAATCACCACCCCACCACCACCACCACCACCACCACCACCACCACCACCACCACCACCACCACCACCACCACCACCACCACCACCACCACCACCACCACCACCACCACCACCACCACCACCACCACCACCACCACCACCACCACCATCACCACCACCACGACCACGACCACGACCACGACCACGACCACGACCACGACCACAACCACCACGGCCACCACGACCACCACCACGACCACCACCACCACCACCACGACCACCACGACCACCACGACCACGACCACCACGACGACCACCACCACCACCACGACGACGACGACGACGACCACCACCACCACCACCACCACCACCACGACCACGACCACGACGACGACCACCACCACCACCACGACCACCACGACCACCACCACGACCACCACCACGACCACCACCACGACCACCACGACCACGACCACGACGACCACGACGACCACCACGACGACGACGACGACGACGACCACCACCACGACAACGACGACGACGACCACCACCACCACGAGCATCACCACCAACACATCGCTTACCTGTGTGCATTGCTGATCTGAGGATAAGTTGCATCTGGAATGGCTTTGCAGTGGACGCTACAAAGCCAAAGAAGAACGCCTGCTGCTCCGCTCCAGCCTGCAGCACCTCACACAGCGCCACCCTCCTCTCCAGCAGCGGCTCCACTGGCTTCACCTCCGAAGCAGCCAGGAACACCTGGATGGTGCCGGGCTCCCCAGGCTCATAGTCCACCCATGCCGTGTACGGCTTCTTGTTGTTAAGAGGAAATGGCGCCTTCACAGCAGCTAGCGACCTTTCCTGGCCTTGAATGTTCAGCCCCACGTGCTGGTTGAGCATGTCCCCCTGCTGCTTGTCTTGTTGAGTGTCGAATTCAACTGCTATGCTGTGGCTGTCCATTCCACTATACCCCACACCGGATCCGCTTCCAAGTTGGTCTGTTGACGAGATGACAAAGGCAAAGCCTCCGCTGCCCGTGGGGCCTGATCGGGGCAAGATTGCGACGGTGAAGTTGACCTGGAAGGCCAGTTGCGCTCCACACCCATACATGGCCTGCCCTTCCTCGAAAACAAACAGAGTCACTGGAGCTGCAGTGAACTTCCCTCCCGTCTCCTTCACTGTCCCCTTGGTGAGCGCAGTTGTTGGCGGAACAATAGGCTGGCTGACTGAATGGCTTACAATTACGCCTGAACCCATGCAAGGCAGTCAATGTGAATACTTATGTGAGGGTGAGGATGAGAGTGAAAAACCCCAGTCATAAAGTGAAGACGCTTCAAAGAGATATGTGGACCGTTGGGTAAAGCTAATGGTGGCAAGGTTCAGATGGGGAGTCTTGTTGCTGTGCCTTGTGCTTATGGAACTCCACACAGAATCTCTAGTGAGGTTAGAAATGGTTTTGCAGGAAGCGTGCAAATGTCATAAACCATGTTGTGTACCTGCCCTGGTTGTAAGCTTGTTAGAACTAAGAGCTTACCTTCTGAGATGCAGTAGGTTCTTCCAGCCTTTATGAACCCTGCATCACACAAACAGCTCGCAGACATGCTGACCAGGTCTGGAGTGCATATCCCTCTACCGGCACAAGCAGCAGCACTTGCATCAGCAGAGGATGAAGTCGCAGCAGATGAGATACCACAGAACGCATTGCATGCTGCTTCCTTTCGTTGCACCACCAGGGAGCAGTCAGAAGGCAGTGTGAAGCAGTTGGCATCGAAGTTGCGCGCCTGGCATGCCCCGTCCGGCAGAGGGCCGGAGAAGAAGTTGCTGGAGACACGCAGGCTGCTGATGGCGGGCAGCGTGATGGGGCCTGTGAGGTAGTTGCGGGAGAGGTCGCTGGGAGGGGAGGGCGAGGGTTGGGGAAGAGGACAGGAAATTGCGTGCAAAGGATTTAGAACTTAGGATGTTGAGTGGAATGAGTGAGGTGGAGTGATGAATGAATATGGGGTTCAATTGTGTTCATTCAGCTTCTTAACTTGGCTAGCGGGTGTAGTGAATCTAGTCACATCACCAAGGTTCCCATATAATCTATTGGTATTAATGTGTGAAACCCTGATATGCAAAACTTCAATCCAAATTTCATAAATTTCAACACGACCAATGGTGGAGGAGCCTTTAAGATGGTTGATGCAGGTAGCTGTGTTTGCAATACAAAACCAGCTCCCTCAAGTGTTCTAGAAGCTCACAGCTTGCAATTTGAGAGAGATACAGAATTTGTGGGTCCATTAAAAAATAATTGTCTGAACTACAGAAGGTGTTGTGGCGCTGCAGTATGGCTTACAGGTAGGTGAGGCTTGTGAGCTCGGTGAACGTGCTAGGCATGCGACCATACAGCTGGTTGGAAGCAAGCGACCTGGTGTGAATTGTGGTGGAAGCATGCAGCATCAAGCAGGCAGCATCAAGGTTGGAAAACAACCTTGATCAGTATCGTAGACAAGTAAGCTCCTTTGACGAAGAGCAATGCAGTGTTTGATAAGTACTGAGGAGAGCACATAGGCCTGGCTTCTTAGCCATGGACGGAAGAGAAAAAAGAGCACAGGGGAACTTGATGCATGCATGTCCGTGCGTGAAATGTGACAGACACTGGTGCGTGTGCTGTGCATGGAGAAGAGGTGAGATGTTAGTGACATGGCGTGCGATTGTATGGGCCAAACGATAAGTATATATGCACATTCTTAAATAATTGAGAAGGCCTTACAGCTAGGTATATCTTGACTACTCTTGGACGTGATATCTTTAATCAACAGATTTAACAAGCCATACAGGAACATATTGAATATACTAAACATTAATTTTTTTACACCAAACAATTCAATCCTACAAAATAATCTTGAATACTGTTGGACTCATCTACTAAACAACAAAACATTATCTGACTTATATACTCCTGTTGAATATTCAATGATTGTCATTGCGATAATTGCACGATTTTGTGTTAATCACAAAAATTAATTCAATGGGCTTACAGGTAACCCAGTCGGGAAAGGTCCCCAATGGCCACAGGAATTGTTCCAGTGAGAAGATTGCGCTGCAGTTTGCTGAAAGAAACCGGCAAGGGAAAACGTTATATGAAGATGAGAGCGCGTTAGCAACTTATTGTATAAGAAAGCAGCTGGCAGGTCACGAAATGGAAGTGAGCAGTACAAAGCAGATACGCTCAAGAGCAATTCATGGAGAATATTCTGGTGAGGATTACATGATAGATATACTGGAGAAGGCACCGATGGAGTGAGGGATGGATCCAGCAAGATGGTTGCGAGACAAGGCTCTGATTAGAGTAGAGGGGACGGGAGGAGGGGATTAGATTGGCCATCACTATGGAACGAGGTGTGTCTTTGATTTGTTCGTGCTTTTCATGTCTTGATGGTGGCTGGATACACGAATCCTGGTAAGAGCTGCATGGTGGGAATGAGAATTTCGAGTATTCATCATTTACAAGGGAAGATGAGAAGAGCCGGAAGGTGTGTGCATGAGAAGAAGGTAAGTGGCTTACAGGACTACGAGATTTGTGAGAGAGCTGATGCCTGCTGGGATAGAGCCAGTGAGTTGATTTTTGTCAAGAACCCTGTGAAACGCAAGGGAGTTTTTTGGGAAAATGAAAAGAGACATACTCAAATGGGGAACTTCAGGAACTGTTCTCAAATGAGACAAATTTGTAGACTCCGCATCTTGATAAAACCATCATTGTTGCAGGACCCATGAACGCTACTGCCTATCACGAGGAGGCGTGCTGGAAACGAAGAGGCGTGCGTGCCTTCAAATACTCAGTAGGGAGCTACTTGCTACACTGAGATTTCTTGACCTCTGGACTGGAAATATTGGAAACCTGCTGTTCCTGTATGAGCTTACAGGCTTGTGACTCCTGTGAGCTTTGTGAGAGAGGAGGGCACAGAACCCGACAGCTTGTTGGAATCAAGAGAACTGTTGACAGCAAGGAAAGGTGTGGAGGAAGGTGGAAGGCAGGTGGGCAGGAAGGTTGGGGGTTGGGGAAGTGGGGGATCAGTACGGTGACGTGGAAAACCAAATGTACGATCTATTGCCAGAACAGATGAGGCTCTTGTGTGATTTGAAGGCATAGGTCAACTCAGAGAAGAGATTTGATTCGGTATGAGCAAGGAACACAGAAGATTGATAGGCAGAAGTGTGAGATGCCTTACAGAGACACCAAAGACGTCAAGGTGCCCATGCTGGTAGGAATACTTCCAGACAGAAGATTTTTGTAAAGATACCTGTGGGTCATATGATATAAGGGACAATATTGGGTACACATTACCACTTATGGCGCAAGGCTCTACTGGTATTCAAGTCAGACTGCCAGTGCGAGGATCGGCGATGTTTATACCATGGATTAAACATGAGCAATGAGCAAACACCAAACATGGTTCGCCCTGCACGAACATGTAAAGGGGGCAAAAGTGAACATGTTCGGTTCGCCCGGACATCTTTCGGGGATTTAGAGTGTTCGAGGTTCGTGATAGGGGGCGAACATCTGCATGTTCGGGGCGATCCCAAATATGTGCAAGGTTCGAGAGTGTGTTTTCAGTGGGTCAGCTCCTCCCTCGTCGCCTCCCCCCCCTCCCCCCCCCCCTCCCCCCCTCTTCCGAACATCGAACATGTTCGGCCAAACATTTTTTGCCAAGAAACATGTTCGGTCCGGTTTGGTCACGAAACATGTTCGGACGAACCGAACAGGCATTCAAAAATTTGCTCATGTCTACCATAGATACATTAACATGGCTCGTTTTTTATTCATATTCTATACCATTGTTAAGAGCTGGCATACATTCTTGTAAGAAGTGTTTCAGGAATTAGTGAGAACAATAGCATACAATTTTGTGTCTGTGATGCTGTTCAGGTATCTTTTCTTAACATAGGTTCCTACCAGTATTGTGTAGGATTATGTCAGTGTTTGTTAAGAAGGTACATAATCAAGGGGTTCATGTGCCTGCACTCACAAGAATTTCAATCTACCAAAGTCACTGAAGCTGTTCGGGATGGTGCCTGAAAGCTGGTTGGTAGAAAGGTCACTGCAGAAAATAGGGGAAGGACAAGTGCGTAAACAATGAGGTGGGAAATAGAAACAAGATGTGACATTGGATTCCTTCACTCACAAGGTGGACATTCAGCATTACCAGATGTTAATTGCATGGAAGCGTGTACGACAATTGCAGAATAAATTTCAGTGAAGAGAGCAGAAGTTAACCAAATTGTGGGAAGTGACAGGTTGACCACAAGTGACCAGCCGAACACCCAAGAGAAAGAGGCGCAATGCAAGAAAGAATCCTATTTGTCTGGCAGATACTTACAGAGCTAGCAGTGCCTTGAGCGAGCCAAGCACATCAGGGATCGCTTTGGAAAGCAGATTCTTGCGTAACAATCTGAGAAATTGGAGATGCGAAGTAACATGGCGATACACTTAAGACTTCACAACACACATGTGGAGAAACCGAGATGTATGGAGCAACCGATACTACGACCACACATGTATGGCGAAGTATATAACGCTGTGGTAGCAGATAGTGGTTCAAGGGTTGGATGCAAATGTGGCCAGGATTAGTACTGGTTAAGGTGAGGATCAAGTTAGTGAACTGCAACGGTTTCTGGAATAATTTGGCTTTTCAGATAATCAAGAGGTAAGGACTGAGACTTCTGGAACGTTCGTCATCAGCAGTTTAGTCATCAGCAGTTTCGTCATCAGCAGTTTAGTCATCAGCAGTTTCGTCATCAGCAGTTTCGTCATCAGCAGTTTCGTCATCAGCAGTTTCGTCATCAGCAGTTTCAACATCAGCAGTTTCGTCATCAGCTTTTTTGTCATCAGCAGTTGAGCTTAAGGTGCTTTAATGTGTCATGTATTACGATGGACAACAGATGCACATTATGAAAATGCAACTTACAGGAATTCCAGCTTATTGAGTCCACCCAATGTATCAGGGATGCTGCCTGTAAGATTGTTCTCCGAAAGATCCCTGGGAGAGAGGTGCGCAGGGAAGATAAAAAGCGGGCACGGAGTGAGAGAAATGGAGGGAGGAAACAAGTGAGGGGAGGAAGCATGCACGCTACAGTAAGCTGGTGTGCATGCACGCTACAATAAGCTAGTGTGCATAGCCAAGGATACAAACATAATGTGAGGGCAGGCGAGGGAGGGACAAAATCAGGAAGAGAAAGGTTGCAGCGACTGAGGTGGAGAGTGACTGACAGCCTGGTGAGGGCGAGCATGGCTCCAATCTCCTCTGGGATGGGACCGGACAGTTGGTTGGAGCTCAGATTTCTGGGGGAACAGCAGAGATGACAGAGTGGAGGGTGGAGAGGGAAGGATGCGGAGGCAGCGGCTCCGGAAGGCTGTAAACCGGGCCCATGAAGCTCTTGAGAAAAAGAATGAATCCTACTGGCTTTGGTTCTTGGAGAAGCAGCAGTGGTGCAGAGTAGCAGCAGGAGCAGAGGTGGGTTGTTAGTGGCAGAGTAACAGTGGAGCCACAGCACCCATAGGTAGTTGAGAACGTTCAGTGAGGCAAAGGAGGGAGGGATGGAGCCTGTGAGCTTGATGGAACGCGTGCGCATGGGAGCATGCGAAAGAAACGACAAGGAGACGAGATTGTTAAATCTGATTGTTTCCTTGTATTTACATAGGAATAACATTTACTAGTTTTTCTTAGAAAGAAACATGCTAACTGACCGTCATTTTGATTTAATTTATACTCAAGGTTAAAAAATGTGGTTGTTTTTTCAAATGTTGTCATAAAATATTGGTATCCTATCATATGCTCCTGTGAGAAATCCTAGAGCAAAAAAAAAAAACACGTTCGTCTTATTGAATCACGGAACCACCCCATGAGTCATTTCTTCTTGTTGACACAACAGTTAGCCCTTACTTGCATGGGTCCCTTTGTGGTGATGAAAACAATTATAACCAACAGTTTTCTTTTACCTTCTTTAGGAGACCAAACTTGTCTAGCAAAAAACAGCCAATTCTTTGACAGGATATACTTAAAGACACGACGACCGTAAAAGAACCACCGAATTTTACGATACACCAGCATGCCCATTTAGCCTGGTTGGTTAGCACACTGGTGTTAACAACCAAAACAGGGTATTTTCTGTGTTGGAAAACGAGCAGGGAAAAGCATAGTATACAGATTTGTGATGCATTTGAGGGAGCCAATGGAGGCAGGGATGGGCCCAGAGAGCTTGTTGATATTGAGAGATCTGGTGGTTGCGGGGTTTGCCAAAAGCAGCATCGGGTGGAAAAACCAATGTTGGCTCAGGGTGCGGATGGGTGATGCCATGTGAGCAAGAAGAAGGCAAGGATAGATGAGAGACAAAACAAGAGACTAGGTAGAGCGAGCAACGGAAAGCCACAAGGTAGGGATGCGATGTCTTACAGGTCCACTAATTTTGTGAGCGCGTCAATGTCAGCAGGTATGGGGCCGGTGAGCTGATTGTTGTTCAGCAGCCTGAGGGAGAATGGGAAAGGGGAAACAAAAATTGCAAGGCCGCTGGATGTCTGCGATACAGGTTGGAATAGATTAGAAAGAGAGGAATTGTCCAGTGGCAGGACATTAATTAAAGCTCCTTTTAGGGATGAACAGATGACTTTCTGAGAACGTAGGCTGGAACGACCCAAAAACGTAAGAATGGTGCCTTGGCATGAAACCCCTTCTCTGAACCCCAATTGGGACTGACAGATGAGATGACTTCCACAGGACTTGTTGAAGCAGCAGTACATTCTGAAGTGCTTGAGTGTGTCCGGCAGTGAAGGAACTTGTGTGACGAATATTGCATGCATGCACCACAATGTGCGTGCAACTCACAGGAATGCCAGCTGAACGAGTCCAGACAAGGCAGCAGGAATGCTGTCTGAAAGTTGGTTGCTTGAGAAATTGCTGCGAGAAAGGCATGAAGGGCAGAGGACATAGAGGTGCGAGTGAGAGGCATGAAGAGAGGAGAACAAAAGTGAGGGAAGCAACAATCAGGTGTGCGTGAGCATGGAAAGGGAGAGAAATCAGGTGTGAGCAAGGTTGGGCATGCGGATGAAAGGGGGGAGAAGGGTTGCTTGCAGCAGTTGAGATGGAGAGTGACTGACAGTCTCGTGAGGGCGAGCATGGCTCCAATCTCCGTGGGGATGGGACCGGACAGTTGGTTGGAGCTCAGATCGCTGGGGAAACAGCAGAGACAGTGGAGTGGAGGTTGGAGAGGGAAGGATAAGGAGGTAGCGGCGAACTCAGGAAGGCTTCAAACTGGGCCATTAAGGAACAACGATCTGCTGTGTTCTGATCTGTTGGCAAACAGAACTGGCCAAGTGTAACACACAGATTTACCATGTTGTCACTGGAGGCAGGGATGGGTCCAGAGAGCTGATTCTCAGCAAGACATTTATGGAGAGTTTGCCAAAAGTGGCATTTGGTGGAACAGGCAATGGTGTCTCAGTGTGCTAACTCATGTTAAAATTGGCAGGGACAAATCCTGAAGAGCGAGGTGATTATAGTGGAGATGAGAAACGAGGTGAGCTGAGCTCAGGTGCTGAGGATTGTAGGTGGTGAGGAGGAAGTTGAAAACCAGGGGTGGGCAAAATGTGAGAGAGGCGTTTCATAGCTTGAGTCTAACAATATATTTCAGGGAGAAAGGCGCTTGACCTTATGTAAAAACAGAGTTGGGTTGCAATAATGGAAGGGCTACATGTTACGTCGTGGGGGGCATGGTAGCTCTAGCCTTACAAAAACCATTTTTTCCAAGCTTCCTAATGCGAGAGAACAGAGAGAAAGGATGAATGCGAATCAATCCAAGTCTCCAATGCTGACTTGCCAGATTCGTTCGGTTGCAAAAAACTTCCCAACTGGATAATGCTAGGAGAATCAAGCTACACCAAAACTACAAACGGTTTGATTCTTATATTTTACTGTGCACACAGGTTGAGAACCTGCTTCTATATAAATGATACCTTTCAAGCTAAGGAAGCTATAACTTACAGAGATACAATTCTCCTAAGTGAGCTAAGTCCAGCAGGTATGGGGCCAGTGAGCTGATTACTGTGTACAATCCTGAGGAGAATGGGATAGACAAAATGAAAGCCTAAGCATGAATATCTGCGATACAGGCTTGATGAATCCCATATACCACGCGTTACCCAAGGCACCTGCGACGAAGGTAGTGAAAAAAACGGAGTGTCTGGATGAACCAGGACTGCACATACTACTCGAAGATGGGTGATTGTTGTTATGTATAGATCTGTGCAGTGAAGATACGACATGGCATGGTGTTGAGAGGGGGTAGCACTCCTGTTATCTCACGTTAGCTACATGGAACTCACAAGGAAGTTAATCCAGTGAGCACTTTGATGCCAGAAGGAATGCTGCCGGAGAGCTGGTTGTGTGACACATCACTGGAAGGGGTGCCACCGAGCAATGCAACCATGCAAGGAACATGCCACGGCAAGGAGACCAAAAGGCAGAGAGAAAATGGGGAACCAGGAATGCTGACGTTCGAGTCACAGACAGGAGGACTGACAGCACCAACCCCAAGGATTTTCACTCAAGCGAGACCCAGCGCCCACAACCCCAACACGGGGCCTTGGGTGGTGGGGCAGGCCGGAGGCTCAACAACGGAAGGAGTAGGACTACCACCAGGCCACCAGCACATAGTAGCCAAGTAAGGAGGGGTGGGTTAAACTAATCATGGGCATACATGGATGGGGTGACGTCTGAAGAAGATGAACGATGATAATTACCGATGTAACGATAATAATCACAGTTGTGGGTCCACATGTTTACTTCCATTCCAAGGCACTTTCTCACTGTTCCTTCAATTTGTGTACACCCAGCAGGCAAGCAAACCGCACATGTGACACATGGTGATGATGGAGGTGAGAGAGTCGGGAATGGTTCCTGTTAGTTGATTATCTTGGAGAGACCTGACATGTACGAGAAGAAGCAAGAAGGAAGGGAAGGGGGGTGGAGAGGAGGATCATGCAGGTATTCTAACGTCATTCGAGCGAGGTTCATGCAGAAGCCAAAACAATGGGTATGGAGAGGAAAATGGAGACAATCGATTGGTAGAGCAGGAAGGGGGGGAGAAGCTTCAAGCAGTCAGGCCTACAACATTAGGCAGGAAGAGAGGAAAATTGAAAACGGGGGATAAGGGAGATGAAGGAAAACGGATGAGGAAGGGAAGGGGGGTGAAGAGGAGGATCATGCAAGTTCAAGGAGTGCAGGAAACAGCATGGAACTAGTCGATCACCATACTCAGCCAGAATCCAAAGCCAATCATTGACTAGGCAGCAAGCTCTATTCATCATGCCTCGTTGAACGGCAGTGGCTCGCGGTTTTGGGTTACCTTAGGTCATGGATAATAAGGGTTCAACGGGGTGATGTGGGTGATATGGGTGCGCTGACCCACCAACACCTACATGCCCTTTTAGCCCAGGTGGTTAGCAGACTTGTACCAACCCAAATGAGAGATTTGCTGTGCTGGCAAAAGTAGCAGGACAAAGTGTAGCATACAGATTAGAGATGCTGTTGAGGGAGCCAATGTACGCAGGGATGGGCCCAGAAAGCTGGTTGTTATCAAGCGATCTGGTGGTTGCGGGATTCAGAAGCACCATTGGACAGAACAGCCAATGGTGACTCAGGGTGCGAACAGGCGAGAGAGAAGAAGGCAAGGAACTGATGAGAGAACGAGCAACTAGGTAAAGCGAGAAAAATAGCTCGGGACTGGTTGTGCTGGTGAGAAATGGATATCCACAAGGGAGGGATGCGATGTCTTACAGATCTACCAATTTTGTGAGCGCGTAAATGCTAGCAGGTATGGAGCCGGTGAGCTGATTGCTGTTCAGCAGCCTGAGGGAGAACGGGAAAACCGAAATCCAACGCTTCTGAAGTTCTCCGATGCAGGCTGGAATGGCCCAAAGAGAGGCGAATGGTGCCCTCGCATGAATCCCCTTGTTTGGGCTCCAACTGGGACCAACAGATGACTTCAAAATTCATGTATAAGCAGCATTTGATATCAGTTTGCTTGAGTGTGTGCGGGAATAAAGGCACTTGTGTGACGGATATTGCATGCATGCACCACACTGTGCGTTCAACTCACAGGAATGCAAGCTGAACGAGTCCCAAAATGGGGGATTTGCTGTTTCTGGCGAAAGAGTAGTGTACAGATGTGTGATGCCTTTGAGGGAGCCAATGGAGGCAGGGATGGGCCCAGAGAGCTGGTTGTTATCGAGCGATCTGGTGGTTGTGGGATTTGCCAGAAGCACCATTGGACAGAACAACCAACGGTGACTGAAGGTGCAAACGGGAAATGACACGTGAGAGGGAAGAAGGCAAGGAACAGATGAGAATGAGAGAAAATAGTTTAAGTGAGCAGATCAACTTAGGATTGGTTGTGCTGGTGGGAATTGTTAGGCTGAGCGAGGGATAGCGACAGATATCTTACAGATCCACCAATTTTGTGAGCACGCTAATGCCAGCAGGTATGGGGCCAGTGAGCTGATTCTTGTTTAGCAGCCTGAGGGAGAGAGAGAAAGGAACAACCGAATTCCAAGACTACTGAAGGTCCGCGATGCAGGCTGGGATGGCCCAAATAGAGTCGAATGGTGCCCTCGTATGAGTCCCCTTGACGGGCTTTCAACTGGGACCAACAGATTACTTTAAAAGTCGTATTGCAGCAGCAATCGAGTTTAGTGGGCCTTAGTCTGTGCAACAACCAAAGGCACTTATGTGAGGGATATTGCACCCATGCACCACAATGTGCGTTCAACTCAAAGGAATGCCAGCTGAACAATTTCAGCCAAGGCAGCAGGAATGCTGTCTGAAAGCTGGTTGTTTGAGAGATTACTGCAAGAAAGGCATGAAGCGCAGAGGAATCGGAAATGTGCGTGAGAGGAAAGAAAAGAGATCAACACAAGTGAAGGGCGGAAAGATACACGTGAGAATAAACTGATGTGTGTGGGCGTGGAAAGTGAGAAAAAAAAAATCATGAGCAGGGTTGTTCATGTGAATGGAAAGGAGAAGAACGGTTGCATCAATTGACGTGGGGAGTGACTGACAGTCTTGTGAGGGCGAGCATGGCTCCAATCACCGTTGGGATGGGACCGGACAGTTGGTTAGAGCTCAGGTCGCTGGGGGAACAGCAGAGACAGTGGAGTAGGGTGGAGAGAGATGGATAAGGAGGTAGCACCGAACTCTAGAAAGTTTCAAACTCGCCCAAGAAGTGTCGAAACGAGAGAGAGAGAGAGAGAGAGAGAGAGAGAGAGAGAGAGAGAGAGAGAGAGAGAGAGAGAGAGAGAGAGAGAGAGAGAGAGAGAGAGCAAGAGTTTGGCTGGCTGTGGTGGTTGGAGAAGCAGCAGCGGTGGAGAGTCACAGTAGCAGCATTGGCATGACCTCCTCTTGGCTGCCAATTGGGACTGACAGATGACACTAGAGGTCATGGTGCAGCAGCAACTGATTATGGTGTGCTGGAGTGTGTGCGGCAATGAAGGCACATGTGTGACAGATATAGTATGCATGCACCACAATGTGTGCGTGCAACTCACAGGAACTCCAGCTGAACGAGTCCAGCCAAAGCAGCTGGAATGCTGTCTGAAAGCTGGTTGCTTGAGAAATTGCTGCGAGAAACGCGTGCAGGACAGAGGAAGTACAGGTGCGAGTGAGAGGAACGAAGAGAGGGGAACACAAGTGAGAGGCGGAGAGATGCGCGCGACAATAAGCTGGTGTGCATGGGCATGGTAAGGAAGGGACAGAAACTGCAGGATAGGTTGGGCATGGGCAAGGTATCGCAGAGAAATCAAGTGCGGGTGAGGGTGGGCGTGCCAAGGAAAGGAGAAGAAGGGTTGCAGCATTTGAGAGAGCTACTGACAGCCTGGTGAGGGCGAGCATGGCTCCAATCTCCG